TGAAAAACTCTTGATGACATGTCGTATTAGCCAGAAATAGTGAAAAGTGATATAAAATTTAGGCAAAACAATCATATTAGTCACATTTTTAATTGCATATTACTGGAAACTACAGTTAAACTTAACTGATTGACACGTCACGTGTTTTAATATCTTTTAGCAAACAAAGCATCTTGGAAAAATATATCACTTGAGTGGTGCCCGAAACGTTAATAAACTTCCACTGCTCCGTCTGTAGTTTCATTTGGCGGCCAGCAGAATATGAGACAAGCATAGGATAAGCTTCAATTGTTACATTCTCTGACATGTTTTTTGTGTGAAGAGTATGGAATGTAGATTATATTCAGAATAGGCATCTTCCTTCAAGGAAGCCTTCTCAGCAAGAAAATCATGTTAGAAAAAATATGGCTCAAATGGTTTTGTGATTTCCACATAAAAATTGGAAAGCGGGGGTTTCAAAGGATGAGGAGTGTTGTTATATTTTATTTATAATAAAGTTTTAAGATGGCGCTAGCTATATCCTAGAACATTCATATCATACCTTTGTTGCTATTACTGTTCTATTATTTATCATTAAAAATTGAGAAAGAGTGGTTTTCAAGTAAAAAAAATGAAAATCCTTTTCGAGATATTTGCATTCCAAAATTCTAATGTGCATGGAAATGACTACCTGAAAAACAGTTCATTAAAAGTGGAATATGCTATGGATAACAAATGGACGTATGTATTGTTTTGGTATCGGCCATTTGACTGTGCCATATAATGTCTGATATTTTCCAATAATGGAAAATTCCCGGATTCCATTTTCCATGTCGATATCGCGAAAACAGCTCAAGCTATAGATAAATAATACCTTGTATCTCATTAATGAACGATATTTTATATTCGGCTGAATATCATTATTTTTACGAGTTTCAATCTAGAACTGCTTTTTGCCCTGTTTCAAAGTGTGATTCTTCAGACTATTCTATCATGTCCTTTCATTAAATTTCCAATTGTTAAAAAACAGCTCCATTTCGAATGTATGCAATTTTTTTCTAAAATAACATTTTTTTAGCAAAATCGCATAAGATTTTCAACCTATATTATTTTAAGTTTTTTCTCGTCTTTATTTTCGAAGAGCGCGAAGGAAAAAATAGCAGAACACTTAGTAGATAGAGTGGAGTACTTTATACCGGGAATCGATGTGATAGTAGTTTGGTTAGAAATAGTGCTGAATAAATACGTTTTCCGCACTGCAGATTCGATCATCGTTATAAGATGTGCCAATTGCAAATTGGAATTGGTATTAAAATTTGTTTGCTAAGTGGAAATTTGAATAGGGATTAACCATACGGTTACATTTGTACTATCTTAATGTAAAACATAGATATACCATTTGATAGCATCCAGGCTCTTACATATGAAATAGCAGGTCATTTTGCAATTACTCAAGGCACACAGCTTAGTATATTATATCTAGTAATTAGCAAAAGGTAGTCAGTTTTGTACTATACAATAAACAATGTGTTTCTTTCAATTTTATCTAAAATGGCGACCACGTTGTTGAGACGGCAATTTTTTTGTCTGATAACGTATCGCCACAGTGGACTGGGATTTCTATATCGTGAATTGTCAGAAGTTCATCCTATGAGAATAGGATTTATACCACAACGATATTTTTATATCTGCCATCAAATAACTGATCATATTTTAATTAACTATGATGTCATCAAATATGTCGACCAGGTATGAGATTCTGTGGAGATACCCTATACTCTCATTTTTATTACCACAAAAAGTCAACGATATAATATCGTATCAAAAATTCGAACTAAAACAACATAACAATCAAAAATACTGTTTTGACTAGTACCCGATACATTGGAATGTCTACGGCCTCATTTTCTGTACAACTAACAAATTATACCAACAGAATTAGCAAACCAACGTTCTTCACTTGGTTGGGTCATTTTCTGACTAGATACTATTACAAAAGTGATATATTATGATTTAACAATAGATAATGACAGACAACACGATGAAGTCAAACAAAAGTGACTTTTGTCATCACTTTGACGCAAAAGTAATACACCAAGATACCTAGATTTTTTGAAAAAAATGTACAGGTGTATTTCTTGAGGGTGAATGGCAAAGCTCCATATTTGGAGATGCAAAAAAAAATTGCTGCGTAATTTTTTTATTACACTACCTTTTTAGGGCTAACCAGAAAAATTACCGTTATTGACCGCAATGTTATATCGAGAAGTACCATTTCTCTTCTTAGGTAATTTATGAAAACAAAGAATATCGAGGTAAACGAAAGTGACAACCGAAATTTATTATTTCCAAATATTTGAAAATTATTCAGAGATAAGTGTATTGAGTGTCACGAATATTGGAAAATCTCTCTTAATGTTAACAAAATGAAAACGTGTGTACGTTACTCCCCTTGGATGGACCAGTCCAAACGAAATCAGCTGTCTGTTGCACTCATTAAATTGAGTTTATGAGTTTGACAGGAGGTAACTAGATATTTTAATGTATTTGTAAAACGAATTCGAAACGGCATGGTCAAATATTTTCAAACCGATTTTATTATTTTATTTAAAAAGTGCTCATTCTAGAAAAAAAATTCAAACAAATATTGTAGGGTTTAGAGGGGAAAAATGATGGTGACCTTGACAATGACCTTGTCTATGACCTTCAAGGTAATTTCACGGCAAGAGAATTATTTTCAAATGAAACCGCAATTAAAAAGAGAAACAAATTGTATGTCCTAGCATGACCTTGACCATTGCCTTCGAGGCCATTTGAAGGTCAAATCAAGAGATCGATAACAATTTGCTGTATCAAAAATGTTTGGCAGCGCAGTTGTGCGGTTTGTGGAGATCCCTTTCAAGGTCAAGGCAAAATTGCCAAAGGTAACCTCTCCTTTCTATACTGGAAGTGGAAAAAGCAGGAAAGTTTACGTCGAATGTGACCCTGACCTCAAGGACAAGGTCATAGTGTAAATGACATTTGAGGTCAAGCTCGCACTTGGACGAAAAATTTACTGGTTTTTTTAGTTCCAGTATAAAAATGAGAGGTTTCCTTTGTAAGTTTTAAAATGACCTTGAGCGTCATGGTCATCACCTTTGGGTGATCCCGCAAACCTCACAACTGTGCTGTCGAACATTTCTTCAGAGAAAATTCTTTTCAATGTCTTCGCTTGACCTTGAAATCACCTTGAAGGTCGTAGCCAAGGTCATTGCCCATATCATCATAATGTTGTCCCCTAGAAACCCTACAACTTTCGTTTGAAACTTTTTCTAGAATGCATAGTTTTTGAAATTTTCAGGTAGGGGGATTAAAATGGGACACCGTGTGTATTGTTTCAGGGAAAAACTTTACACATATGTATATAATATCAAAGTACTCACTTCTCAAACTATGTATGTATTTCGCGATCAGTGATAATACTATGAAGTATAGTTGTATGGAATGAAAGGAACCTTTGAAATGGCACATCTGCTGCTGTGGTTATTGTAAAAAGACATTGGGAGGGTTCAGGTAACGTACGTGCATGAAGATTACAGATAAGAGGTCAGATTCATGGAGTGGGAATGAAGCCAAAGATATCGACGGTAACGTGAGTTGGTGCACTGCGCAGCAAATGAATTTCAGGTGCTGCGCATAGGGCATCTACCTCGTATGTACACTGCGTAGAAAATAAATTTTAGGTTCTGCGCATGTAGCATCTCTCTGTAAACCACGAAATGCAAATGAAGATTGCGGCAGGATATGTTGATATTTTTCAATGCACATACGCTCCACGCCATGTTATACGCCCACTAAATTTCCGAGAGCCATACCATCCTTGGTGACAGGATTAGCTTCATACGAATATCTGCACCGCATGACTGCGTATTCTCAAATGCCGAATAGTGCACAACGGTAAATATAAAGTGATAGCTAAAAGGCGAATCCTTTGTAGTGATCAACGTTCAAAAAAAATTAAGTAAAAACGCCCCACAATGTCTGCGAATGTGTAACGTATTTGAACTTTTTGACCAGCGATGTGACCTCTCCAGCAAATTGGAGATATCTGTAAGATAATACTTCAAAGTTCTTTTCACCTCCAACAACTCTTCTGAAGACTGCTCATACCAATACTTCTTAAAATGATAGATTTTTGAATACACGCAAGAACGAGATTTAAGGGAAAGTTAGCCAGCAAAATAGTTTGTATCTCTGGAATGCCTTTTACCCTCAATATAGTTTTCACGACAGTTAATTTGATATATATAGGCTGTATATTACTTGTATAAGGTCAAACAATATTATCTACTCGCTGTAGAGACTAGATGTTTGATAATTCCATAGAGTCGCCGACTCACAGCTAGCTAGTGGAAATAAAAAGGGGGACACTCTGTATGTCCTGATTGTGAACCTAATTTAATCCCACTTAAAGTATATTTTGTTATTTAACATGTTGCATAGATTCAGATCGTGTTGTCCGTCATGTATCTATTGAAGAGTTACATAAATATTAGGGCGATCTCTAAATAACTTTTCATACTTTTATCGCCTCTGATCCAAGAAATACTCAAAAAATATGAATCCATCTCGTTTGTCTCGTCACACTTTTCACAAAAATTCGAAATTTGAGATCTAATGACTCACATTTAGATTTAGGAGATACGAATATGTATAGTTCAGATCACCCTATTTTTCAACTAATCCAGGTGCCAATTTTGGAGTATAATGCACGGTGTTTCTATTCAACAGTTTTTAAATATTGAATCCCTGAGTTTGTTATATATTTTGAACTATTTCAATGGAAAGCACAAGTATTTGTAGCATAGAGTGGCACTATTTCTTAAATAATAAATATTATATAAATATATTTTTCCAAAAATAAATCTCTGTATATGTGTATCTATATTTAATAGTGAATTAGTATATGTATAATTACTTTATATGGCTTGTGATATTGAACTACAAAATGCCGTAAGCTTCCATTTTTAAACTGATCTTACCTTACCTGAATCATGTTTGCTATGTCAAACTCTTATTTTTATTACCTAATACTCTTTTTGGACATCATTTAGTTATTCAAAATTCTTGAAGTAAACAGTACTACTTTCAAATTCCTTTAACATAAAATAATTGTGAGGTATGTAAGCATTTGAAAAGTATCTTTTTTAGTTAGGATTGGTATCAATTTACAATCTAGAGTAAAAATATTGAGGCATCTTGAGATTAGCAATCCGATCTTTGGCCAGTGTTTCAAATGTTTCTTTGAACATCGAAAGAAGTTTGCGAAAGGTTGGAAAATCTCGAAACTGGATATACTACAGACCAAAATATGTGAATTGACCTGAACAAACCTCAGTCCAAAAGTTGATAGTTTGTAAAAGTTACAATTTTATTTTCTATTTTTCCTTATTGTTTAAGAAGTATTTCAGATTTTGGCATAAAACTCGGTATAGGGAAGCAAGAATCCGTTATTTTATGGCCAAACTTATTAAAAATCTTATTATCTCGTATTTCCACAACAAAAAAGGTTTACTTGTTAGAAGTATCTAAAGCTAATAGTTTCCATATATTTGTTTTTAAAGCATTACATCTTGCCAATCCTTACACTAAATGTATATCAAGATATTCATCAAACGTATACTCCATGATGTTTAACAACTTATTGTCAACTTAAGATTATTCATGAAGTTTAAAGCAATATTATGACAAACAGTAGAAACCATAGCAACTCTACTCAGATATTATCTAAAGCAACTTGATCATTATGTTATAAAAATGTTTTAGTATCATGGTACAAATAATGCATTGAAACTTTTAAAAACAAATATCTCGAAAACTATTAGCCTTAGACACTTCTAACAGGTAAGCCTTTTTTGTTGTGGAGATACGAGAAAATAATATGTTTTGCTCAGTTGTTGTGTACAGGGTAGCACAAAAAAGTTATGATAAGTTATTTACAGTGGCGCCGTCTAGAATTTTGACCATAAAAATAACGGATTATTGTTTCTGATACTAGAAAACCTCCCTATACCGAATTTTATTCCAAAATCTGAAATTCTTCTCAAGCAATAAGAAAAAATAGAAAATAATTAAATAATATAACTTTCACACCCTGTATCTCGCAAACTATCAACTTTTGGACTAAGGTATGTTTAGGTCAATTCAAATATTTTGGTCTGTAGTATCTCCAGTTTCGTGATTTCCTAACCTTTCGCACCCTGTATACAAGTGAGAAAAAATCGTGCATTATACTTGCAGAATGAAACATCTGTGTGTGTTGATTATATTTGATAAAAAATACATAGTAGCCATTCACATGTGTGTCTTGTCTTGTCGGATGCATTGATCTGAATCAAACAGAATACGGAGAAAGAATCACTAGAGAAGTTTTCTCTGGATATGAAGGGATTTTGTACAGCAATTCAGTTGTATCCAAAATTCTGATAATATGGTGGTGCTGTAGGTGTCGGTCGAATTTTCAAGCTCCAAAAGCGTACGATATAACAAAGACCACGATTTTTTATATTCTAAATATCCTCCGCACCAAAACAGACAAGCACTCGATCGCGAATCCTGTTCGCTTGTTGTTACCTGCCAACAGGTTTATGGCCCGCTGTCCAATAGGAGCACGCTGATGTGTATTTGTTTTGAAGTGTGAATGAGATTTAAACACCCTATAGTAAGTATGGTTCCTTCCCTATTCTGTTTGCAATCAAAGAAAGATTTTTTACTTTTGTGGTGGATGCTGACGCCAAGTACACATATGGATAGGCTTGTAATATATGGCACCCGGAAGTAGAATAACGTTTTTCCGAAGTTGCCAAGTGGTCGATAACTTATGACGTAACCCTGAGTTGTATGCGGACTGAATACTGGGTACACGGAACATCATAACTGACTGTTGAGCAAGCTACACCTAACAAATGAATACATACATACTTACTCGTGAACTATATTATTATATCGAGATATAAAATAGGAACTTCTTTAAACATCACCTAAAGCTTTATCGTACAAAACATCAGTATCTCGATATATAATGTGAAAATCAACATACTATATAAAATTTCACTCAGTCTTTCCGTATTTGCATAAAGGTATGTGCTCATATGTTCTTTCTCATAATATATGAGGTATTTGCAAACGCAGGAATACTTATATATCTACTAGTCTAACAGACAAGTTCCACTCATCAATTCCATTTTACCCATCTCTCAAAAATACACATGAGCTTGTAAAACCCTAAGTCCAAAATATAGGACAATACGAGTATCACAAGACGAAATATATTGTTTTCGGTCTTATTATAAAATGCAGATTGTAGCAACCTGTAATAGGTGGATCAACTACTACATGCTTAAACATAGTATACATACTCGTACTAGAACTTTGTAGTTAGACATACAGGGTGGTCCGTCTTGAGATCCAAGATTAAGCTCGTGGAATAAATTATATTCAAATTCGCCTTAATAAAAAGTCCCTCTTTAACAAGATACAGCATGTCGAAATTTCAGTCTCTCTCGTCCAAGGACATTTCTTTAGTTTTCAATCGTCGCTTTCCATTTTTTCATTTCATTTTCCTTGTTTCCCTCCTCCCCAAAATGTCCCTCTGGCTCCGCCACTGGTTATGTCTGTATAGATTAAGGCCTCACGTCCCTTTTTTCGCTTTTTTTTCAACTACCTGTTTGCAACAGTATTCTAAATCCTTCATGATGTGTATAGAGCTGACTGAGAAACATCGTTTTTGTCATGAAATGCATTTTTTGTGCATTTTATTGTGGATTTTTTCTTCGATGACTTGTTAACAAATACTAGGAATTGTATGTGAATATTCCACTTTTATGGATGAATGAAACAAGTGATTGCTTTTATTCTTATCACTTTTTCTCTTCGAAAAATCTTTGCTTTTCTTGAAAACCTAACTAGCTGCGAGACGAGGCTTCAAGAAAATCGAACATTTTACAAAAAAGAAAAGTGATAAGAACAAAATTAATCACTTGTTTCATTCTTCTATAAAAGAGGAATTATTCACACTCAATTTCAGAGCTGTACTTATATTTGTTAACAAGTTCCGATTGAAGAAAAAATGCACAAAAAATGCATTTTTTGACAAAAAAAATTTAAAATGATTTAGAATACTGTTGCAAATAGGTAGTTGAAAAAAAACTGAAAAAGGGACGTGAACACCTTAAGCTGTTTTTGTGATGTCGACATTGAACATTCTGAACATTCACATACTGCATGCTCATATCAAAAAATCGCTAGAGCTGTAGAGAATTGAGGATTTCGAAAATCAAACTTCCACAGCCAGTATCTCATCAAGTAACATTTTACTAATGTATGTACGTATATTTGGCTAAATATAATAAATTGATTCCACGAGATTATTCTAGGATTATATTTTTGCGCATTGATCACCGGACCACCGTGTATAGTGATATTAACCTCAGTCCTGATTTTTTCACATTCTCAGTATGTTTTGTAAAATTTGAAATGTCTTAAGGCTGGATTATGAGACGAGCTCGTCTGATAAACTATATGTACTGAAGGATTATACATTAATTAAACGTTAATATTAAATTAAATAAAAAATCACAGGTGTCGTGGAATCGCCATCGATTGTTTGTTAAAAAAATATAACACATATATGCAAACTACGTGAGAGTTTTGTTAGGCCGGGGTCAATGTAAAAGTGACTGTGATGGGAGCCGGTTGTTTTTGGATCATGGGCAAAAACACCACGGATGGCATCACCCGGCGTTCTGAGGTAGATTCTTCCAAAAGGAAAGCTTGCATCACATACCCAGGTTTCTTCGGAAGTGAAGCTGGATCCTCTTGGTCCTGCGATATATCCCTTTGGTTCTGCGGTATGGCATACGTGGCAGGCCATTGCATCCTCTTTGCCACATCTCTCAATGATTGTCCAATCTCTGACGATAGCTCAACTTGCTTCACCTTCGCTGGAGCCTGTTTCTTTGCTTTGATTTCTTTCTCAGTATCATCATCCTCTTCTTTCACCATGGAGGGTAGTAGCATAGGATGTTGGGTTATAATATGGCGTTGCAGCAGCTCTCTTTCTGGGAATGTTTGTGGACAAGCGGGACAAGTTGCTGGCATCTCATCCATATTGAATGAATGCGATCTTTCATGTACAAAAAGTAACGGCAACAAAGGTGTTGCGAAAGGACAGTAGGAACATTGGTAAATTTTAGCGCCTGATTCATCTGTTGCGAACAGGCTTGAAAGGAAGTTTTGAATCACCGGTTTCTGTTGAGACTGCGGATCTTGATTTCCATTCGGTATTTTCAGCTTGGGGCTGGACCCCTCGACTTTAAGTGTGGTCATACCACGATTTTGCTGAAGCTGGTATTCTATCTCGGCCCACTTCTCGACACCCGTTTGTCCATGATCTGTTATCAAATGAGCTTTCAACCATTTAGTGCTTCTGAATCTTCGGCTGCATATGGTACAAACTTCAGTAAAATATGTGAAGTACCTGTGACTCAAATCTGCCAGATCACCAGGTTTCAGAGCAGAATCTGGCTCAGAAATCGCTGGCGGATGTTGTTGCAATGAAGCATCGCTTTCATGCTTCCTTGGAGGAACCAAGTTGCTTCCATATTCGATAATGCCATGAGTGTTGTGTTTATGGACTCTAAGAAAGTATTTGCTGCATAGTTCTTTGTTGCAAATGTCACAGACAACACCACCGATTTGAGCTCCGTTCTCAATTTCGATTCCGTGCATTCTTTGCATGTGTGTCTTCATAAAATACTTGTTACACAGTTCCTTGTTGCATATTTCGCAGTAACTACTTGTCGGAGTAACATTCGTCGACACTCTTCTCTCAGAAACCTGACCCGCAGGTTTGGTTTGTAGCTTCTCTTGCGAGTTGTACAAAGTAGTTTCATCTTTGATCGATTCAGATGTAGATTGGTTGTTCGAGTGAAATTCAAGGATATGTTTGGTCATTTCGTCAGTATTTTGTACTTCCTTCCCGCACATATCGCATAAGGTGTTGTTGTTAATGTTATCTGTTTCGTTAGTTTTTTCTAGTTCTTTTGCTTCTTCTAGTAAGGAACTGTGATCTTGCATCATATGCGCGTGTAGGTAAAATTGATTTTCGAATTCTTTGTTGCACACATTGCATGCACTGGAAGCTTTGTTGGCTTCTAGATCATTCAGTTGTAAGATCATCGTCTGTAGTTTCTGTAAGTCTTCACTGATGGCCTCGGATTTCTTTTGTTCTGGGGTTTCCTCTTTGGTTGATATTTTTGCTTGGAAAGGAGCTAGACTAGAGTTTTGTGTAAAAATATCACAATTTACGCTACTTGGTGAGGTAGTTTTGCAGTCAGAACTGTTTTGTTCAGTCATGATTAGATTAAGCGGGCTTGTCTGCATATTGTTGGAAAGCATGAAATTAACGTTGGTCTCTTCTGACCCCATTTCTTTTTCTTTGTCTTCCGGAATGTAAATCCCGTGTCGTTTTAGTTTATGTGTCCTCAGAAAGTACTTGTTGCAGTATTCTTTGCAACATATCTCACAAAAAGCTTTCGGATTCATAACGCCTAGACGTCTCAAACGGTACGACAAGTCCATTTCGCGCATTTGCTGTTCTGGAAGCTTGTTCGATGTATCTTGGTAAGAAGGTTTGATTTCTGTTTTAGAGGTAGTTTCGGTTTGTGTGTTGCCAGGACTAGTATATTCAGCCATTGGTGGCTCCTCCGGAAAGACTTTTTCACTTTCGCTCGAAGATGATTGTCCATTGGAAACTATGGCACTTTCATTCAGCTTTGCTTCGCATAGATTAATTGGCGCTTGAGTAGAAAACGAATTGGTGAATATACTACAAAACGGATTAAGTGCTAGGACGTTCGGATCAGGTTTCGTTTCTAAAGGTGGCACAATATTAGGCAATTTGACGCTCGTTATAGAGGTAGACGTTTGCGAGGTCTCGGAGCTAGATATTTCCGTATATATCCCATGCTTGTTAGCTTTGTGCGTCTTGAGGAAATACTTATTACAGAACTCTTTACTACAGATTTCGCAATAAGCATCTGGATTAAATATCCTCATCGGTTTTATGGGCAAGGTATCCGGTTGTGGGAACTGCGGTAACGCCATTAGCATGGGATTAGCTGTAGAAGTGAAAGGTAAGTTGGGTAAACTAGCGCTCATCCAGTCCTTGGTATGCATTTCACCCATCCATGGAACGTCAGGTCTAGGCTCCGCGTACTGATCTTCAACCTCCTTTTTGCAATCCATAGAGGTTTGGTCATGGACAGACGGAGAGCGTGGTCCCTGATCTGGTGAGAGCGACGGCTTACCTTCGACTAACTCGGCTTGACTAGTATCTGCTTCTCCCACTGCAGCTCCAGTACCTGTCCCTGCGTATATTCTAACCGGTGTAGTCTGCTTTCGGCGCTTCTTTGACTCACTGGAAGCCATGGCAACGGAATAGGGTCTCTTGATGCTCCTTGCCGGTGATGGTGTGGCCTCGAACTCAAGGTTGGCTCTCGAAATAGGTGCTTCGTCGGTCCCAGAGGTGTAGCCGCCATTTAACTGACCAGAGCTTGAAGATAATGTGACGGAGGTCATCGTGCCTCCTGGCTGGCAACATCCAAGGTTCGTACAGGCCCCTGCGTACACAAAAAGGCATATGGTAGAACACACAATTGAATTTTGAAATTAAAATTACACATCAAATAGTATACTGATAATCATCATAAACTAAGACAAACACATAAGAAATTGTTACTGTTCTGACCACAATATACAGGGTGGCGCATCGAAAACGAAACAGACGCATTTACTGGCAGCTCAGTTTTTTTTTGAAGAACGCTCAGACCCGTCGATTTTGTTTTCAAGGGGGACAAATGTTTGACAAAAAATCACGTTATAACGTGCAGCCCCCTAAACGGGGGTGACACCACCCCCAAAATTTTAAATGGAAAAGGGGGGGGTTTTTCAATTCCCTTTATAATGATATAAAATTAATGTACTTTAGTTCAGTAGTTTTGAGGATTTATTGGTTTAAAACTTAAATAAAACTAATACATCATCATTAGTGGAGATCAATACATTTGGCAGCAAAGTAATTTAAAAATGAAGAATGAACTGACCCGCTGGGCAAGTAAATGTTGAAAATGGCCACCATGACTCTCCATGCAATAATAAAGATTTTGCTCAAAACGTTGCCGTACATTTTGCAATATCTGAGGAGTAATTTGAAGGCACTCATTCACAATTCTTTGTCGCAGGTCTTCTAATGATGTTGGCTGAGTAGCATAGATTTTGCTTTTTAAATGACCCCACATAACGAAATCTAAAGGTGATAAATCTGGCGATCTTGGGGGCCATTCAATGGCACCCCTTCTACCAATCCCTCGATCTGGAAACGTCTGATCTAAATATTGTGGAACACGTAATGTGTAATGTGGTGGGGCACCATCCTGTTGGAACATCAACCTATTCGTAATGTACCGCCGATCATTCTGATTTTCAATTATGGTTGTTAATGCAGGATCTACGGCGTCTTCCAGTAATTCCAAATACATTTCACCGTTCAAATTTCCAGGGAAGAAAAAAGGACCAACTAAATGATCGCCAAAAATACCAGCCCAAACATTTAATTTTTGTGGCTTCTGTGTATGAACCTCATGATAAATTCTGGGATTAGAATCGGAGCAATATCGGCAGTTATGACGATTTACTACGCCATTTAAGAAAAAGGAACGTTCGTCGGAAAAGCAAGTGTTGAATAGAAAATGTCCATCGTTTATAATTCGTTCACTCATATCTTCACAAAATTGTAATCGTCGATCAAAATCGTCTTCATTAAGTTCTTGTACCAGGTGAATTTTATGCGGATGAAAACTATGGACATTTAGAATCCGTTGGACAGTACGTCGACTAACACCACACACAGTCTCCCATTTGCGGGTACTTAACGTAGGATCTACATAAACCTGCCCTAAAACCCCTACTTCTATTGCTACATTCCTTATGGGATTTTCAATGTTGCGTTTTTCATTGGCGACTGACCCAGTTTCCCGAAATTTAGCTACAAGTTCTAGAACATATTTTGGATGCACGTTACTGTTCTCATGTCGCTCATTAAATATTTCTGCTGTTCTATTAGCGCACTGATTATTTACGAAAAATATTTCGATAATTTCATCTCATTCTGCTGTGGAATGTACCATGGTTTATTTATGTAATAAAGCGCTACAAGTTATTTTAGCAACAAAGTTTGGTCAAATCAATCGCAAACTATGTACTAAATTCCTATTTAAAATAAGTACGAAATATTTCCTTATCTTCCTTCAAGAAATAACTTTTTTGCCACAAAAAAAAACGCTCGAATAGCTACTTTCAACAACAAAATGATCAACAAACCATGGGCGTAGTGAAGAAAAGCATTTACTTATTAAGTAAATTCTTTTAGTCAAATTTCTTCTGAAAGTAGTACAAACTAATCTGATATACCTATTAAAGTCTACTTTAAGCTTTAAATCAATAAATCTTCAAAACTACTAAACTGAAGCTCATGTATTTTACATCATTATAAAGGGAATTGGAGGACCTTTAAAATAAGGTATCACTCGACCGCCCTTTCCATTTAAGATTTTGGGGGTGTTGTCACCCTCGCTTAGGGGGCTGCACGTGCTAAGGTGATTTTTTGCAAACTTGTGTCCTCCTCTTAAATAAAATCGACGGGTCTGAGCGTTTTTCAAAAAAAAACTGAGCTACCAGTAAATTTGTCTGTTTCGTTTTCGATGCGCCACCCTGTATAAATGACAGTGCAATTCAAGAAGTTGATTCGGTAGCTTTAATCTATACAACCATGATATTTCAACTCGAACTGTTCCCTTAACCTTCTTTTTCTCCCAAAAGCGCACATTGAATTCAACTAAAATACATAAATATTGAGGTTTGAGACAGCGTTGTCTATATGATGCTTGTCTTATAAGAATTATACAAACCGATTCTAAAAATCACGCATTTTAGTTTTTGTAAAATTTCGAGTCAGTCTACTTGACAGAATCATCAAACCGTGAGATTTCATCCTCACATACAACGCATACTTTTAATTCTGTTTGACTTTTGAAAATACGTTTGCTCCATTTTCTTGTTTTCAATACCATTGCACACATCAAATATAAAAAATAGCGTCAAGTGGATTGACTCTGCGTCTCCCACGCAACGCTATCAGCAGTTTATGAACAATTGCATTCAGCCCCTTTTAGAAAAGAGTTAACTACTAACAAGTAAAACAAAGGAATTAAATAGATCGAGTTAGTCAAATAGGCCCGTACAATTAGTCGCCACTGATTTGACAACCAACAGCAACGTTGCTTCTAGAACTTCGATGAGTAAATTGCTAGTGGTAGTGGTTACCTCGCTGGTGTATCTTCTAATTTTGTTGCGATGCTGTTGTCGAAAATATTGTATCATTCCAGGTCTTAAGGGCAAATATACGTGGAAATGTATGGGTGAAGTAGTTGCGGATAATTACCAGGGCAAACCCCGAACTCAATATTCAGCCCCTGCATTTTTTTCTGGAAATCAGCAGTAGTCTCTAAAACACCGTCACCGAATCGTTTTTCAAAAATTAAAAAGTTTTTTCATCCTTGTATCAAAATGGTATCAGTACCCAAGCAATAAAATCCGAACTTTAGAGGAGTTAAAGACAGAGATACCGACAGACGGGCCGACGGACATGAGCGACATGGTTTTTTCTGATGTAGTCTGAAAAAAACAAAAGTTTGCGAATTTTGGCCTAACAGACAAGGTTAAAAATCGATTTAAAATGAAGTAATTTCAAAATACTTGTCGGGATCCTAATGGGTGATTTTTTTGCTAGTATCTTTTTGGCAACACTGTTTTTGACAGATGACGCGTGAATCGTGTCTTGTGTCATTGTCAAACTTGTTCAGTTTGGTCTATAATTTAACCATGACTCGACTTACGAACGAACAACGCTTGCAAATTATTGAATTCTACTATCAAAATTCATGCTCGGTTAAGAGAGTGCATCGAGCACTGCTTCCAATTTATGGGCAATTTGGTCGGCCTGCTGAGGGAGCTATTCGGAAGCTTGTGACTAAATTTCGAACCCAGTTTACATTATTGGACATTAAACCACCAACACGCAGACGTAGAGTGAGGACTGAAGAAAATATTGCGGCTGTATCCGCCAGTGTTAGTGATGACCGTGAAATGTCGATTCGCCGCCGTTCGCAGCAATTGGGCCTCTGTTACTCCACTACGTGGAAAATTTTGCGACAGGATTTGGGTGTAAAACCTTATAAGATACAGCTGGTGCAAGAATTGAAGCCACACGACCTCCCACAACGTGTCCAATTTGGTGAAAGGGCGCTGGCAAAGTTGGAGGAAGATCCACATTTTTATCGAAAAATTGTGTTCAGCGACGAAGCTCATTTCTGGTTGAATGGGTACGTTAACAAGCAAAATTGCCACATCTGGAGTGAAGACCAGCCAGAAGCATTGCAAGAGCTACAATGCATCCCGAAAAAATCACTGTTTGGTGTGGATTATGGGCCGGTGGCATCATCGGGCCGTACTTCTTCAAAGACGACAATGGCCGGAACGTAACTGTGAATAGCGAGCGCTACCGTGCGATGATAACAAACTTTTTTTTGCCCAAAATGGAAGAGCTGGACTTGGCTGACATGTGGTTTCAACAAGACGGTGCCACATGCCACACCGCACACGAAACAATGGCCCTATTGAGAGGCGAGTTCGGTGAACAGTTTATCTCACGTTTGGAGCCCGTCAATTGGCCGCCTAGATCGTGTGATTTAACGCCGTTGGACTCTTTCTTGTGGGGCCATGTTAAGGCTAATGTCTACAGAGATAAACCAGCAACGATTGAGCCAATATTGAAGCATTTATTCGTGAGATACCGGCCGATATGTTGGAGAGAGTGTGCCAAAATTGGACCTTGCGCATGGGTCATCAAAAGCGGAGCCGCGGCCAACATTTACATGAAATAATCTTTAAACATTAAATTATATCGACCATTCTATCGACTCAAATAAAGATTTAATCGTTTTTTCAAATTTTTTGTGTTTTTTTTGAAAATCAAATCCTATACCTCTTAAAAAATCACCCGTTATAAGGCAAGGTTTAAACTTTAATTTAGTTATTTGATAACCTCAAAAATAATGATATTCAATCGAGCTTTTAAGCAATGAATATACCAACTTTTAGAGCTTTTCAGACATTAAATCGCTCTTAACTCGAAAATGGTGAGCTTTAGAGAAAAGTTATTGGGACCCTTTTTTGTTTGGAACGATCCAAAAACCTGAAAAAATGGATGCGGGTAAAAAAATGCAATTTATTTAAAAAAAATGCTTAAACAAATTTGATCAGAGTTACCGTACGAATATATTCAATGCTTGAAAACTCGGTTAAAAATTATAATTTTTGAGGTTGCCAAGTATCTAGGTTGAAGTTAAAACCTTGCTCTACAAGACACTGAAAAGTATTTTGAGATTAGATTGTTTTAAAGCGATTGCATCCTTGTGTTTCAGACCAAAATAATCGAACTTGCCTTCTGCAGACTGTACATGTCATGTAACATTCAAAAAACTTTATGGTATTCAAGCTACTC